GGAGAGAGTAGTCTCCCAACCTCGACACTGGCCAGACGCTGGAGACTGTTACCAATGACTTGGGGAAGCGCTAAGCCACTGGGGGATCACAAAGCACCTGTGGAACGGGATTCCGAAGTGATCCAAGAAGGGAAGCTTCATTGCAGTACAATGGCAGATTAAACCAACAGTGCATAAATGCTATAAACAATGCGGGTTAGGATCTTTTATTCGAAAAATTATTATAATCAAAGGGCTAAACCGACAAGGACTTCATCAGTTCACTAATAACCGTTATTATGGATCTGGTTTACCGGGTACTTATATATATATATATATATATATATATATATATATATATATATATATATATATATTATATATATATACACACACACACACACTGAGTCGCAACTCTCAGCTATTTCGACCCACCTACGGTTACTCAAAATACCCAGAACTCACCAAGAAAAGGTGGATACTCTCAGAGTTCCAGGCTGTTTGGAACCAACGTATCCCGTTGTTTACCCACCAATAGTAATATTCAACTAGTCGAAGATTTAAATTTAAAGATGAAAAATCGAAAAGCACTGGAATAATCATGAATTATTATTACAATCATAACCAATTGCTAAACCCATAAGGGTCATACAGCGCTGCCATCCAGTCACTAATGAACTAAAGCACTGCAAACAACAGCTACCAGAAAGCATTGCAGTGACTGATTCCAAAGGCAGTGAAACACCAAGAACCAGAAACAGTGCTAGACTTCACAAGTCCCTTACCAGATCTCACCTTGAATATGCTGTCCACCCCTTAATTTATGTACCAGACAAGCAACCAGGAAAGTACAGAATAATACAACTCTTATATTTTTGTATTTAGAAAGAGCCACACGATCAAAGACTTAAGTGGCACTTAACCTGTAATAACTTTGGAAGCGGAGATTGAGAGATCTCATTTCAAGCCTCAGTACACTAAACAAATCTGACACGCAAAAACGTGCAAAGCGAAAGAATTACGTGAATCAGCGGCGCTGAAATAAATATGGATAATAGCTTTCTGTTCAGTGTTTATGGAACCTGCAACAGTCTAGCTACTGTTAGGTACAAGGACACATGTGCTACTAATGTGACATTTTATTGTGGCAACGTTTCGCTCTCCAGGAGCTTTATCAAGCCGTTATAAATAATATAGTGACACGGAGAGATGCATATACATAATCACTGCAGTAGGAGGATATCTGACTCACGTTTCTGGAGAGCGAAACGTTGCCAGAATGTAGCATTAGCTGCACCTCTGTCCTTTTACCTAATTAGTATATTAACAACTAGTCGATTCAACCCTCGGGTTACACAGCTGTCAGCTGGAGACAGCAGCTCACGGGAGACAGAAACGAAGGGTGCACAGTTGGGGAACAAGTTTCTACCTTGGCAACGTTTTTAGTTTTGTTTCGATCCCTCCTTGCAGAGCGAAACGTTGTGGCAATGGAAGCTAGTTCCTCGCCATTGTGTTGTATTTATCGAGTTGCTAGATACTGCAGTAGCTGAGTAGATAGTATTGTATCTATCAATAACAATCGTGCAGTAGTAGTAGTAGTAGTAGTAGCATCAGCAGCACTAGTAATATTGTAATAGTAGTTCCAATAGTAATATTAAAAATAATAGTGTTGTAGTAGTAGTGTTATTTAAATGGATAGTTTACTAGCACAAAACATTAGTTGGCTTTGAAAGGCTCTCAAGCTCGCATTGAGAGGAAGAGAGCCTTGAGGTTGTCTGCCTCATCCACGCACGTAAAGGTAGCAGTGGTGTAGCCAGGCCTCATACAGATAGCCTCCATGTAGACATTGATGTCTGTCAATTGTCTTTCCCCCATTTGTTCGGGTGTGGGCTGTTATTCTCTCTCATTCTCTCCTCTCTCTCTCTCTCTCTCTCTCTCTCTCTCTCTCTCTCTCTCTCTCTCTCTCTCTCTCTCAGATCGTCGTAATATTTTCACAAAACAGTGAAAAATAAGCATTGATACACACACACACACACACACACACACACAACACACACACACACACACACACACACACACACACACACACACACACTCGGAATGTACACCGAAGGGGTGATAAGGGTGGACAGGGGTGGCAGGGGGTAAAGGGGATTGGGGAGGGGAAGTAACAATAGTTAGGGGGGAAGAGTTATACATAAACACACACACACACACACACACACACACACACACACACACACACACACACACACACAATATACGCCCAAATGTTGCCCGGTCTGCATGCAGCAGAGATACGAGGTGTAAATATTGGATTTTGGCGGTAATTAAATTTCGTGTGGTCGTGCGGTCGCCAAAATAATCAACCCTTCAGTTGTGGAATTACGGTAATTTGTTCTTGTTTCGCAGTTTTTAATAGTTTGATTTTTTTTTTTTTTACCCCTAAGCGCCTATTATCTATTGTTTTTCTTGCTTTTTTGTTCTTGCATGTTTTGTTTTCGTCATTTAGTTGTAAATGATGCAGTTTTTTTTCTCTCTTATTTTTGTTTTGATTCAGTATTGCAAAGAGGAATCCCATGTTGCTTTTTTTTTTTCTTCCTTCGATATCTTGAGAACTAGCGAGCAGAAACTGGAGATTATTACCGTTCTACCACTCCCTTCCCCCTCCTTCCTTTCTCGCTTCAGCGTGGCTCAATGTCCAAGTCTGACCGAAACCTCGACATAGGCCGCCGTCTTCTAAGTTCCGATTATTTGCACATGTCCTTGTGGTTTCTCACGCGACTTTTCGAACCAAGATGAACAGGAACTGGAGGATTAAAGATCAACGAATTACAGTTCCCACAAGAGATGGATATTATCCCTAACACCACAAGATTTTGAAGAGGCAATAAATGACATGCCCATGCACTCTGCCCCATGCCCAGACTCATGGAACTCCATGTTCATCAAGAACTGCAAGAAACCCCTGTCGCGTGCCTTCAGCATTTTATGGAGAGGGAGCATGGACACGGGGGTCATCCCACACACACTAAAAACAATAAACATAGCCCCACTCCACAAAGGTGGCAGTAAAGCAATTGCAAAGAACTACAGATCGATAGCACTAACATCCCATATCATAAAAATCTTTGAGAGGGTTCTAAGAAGGAAGATCGCCAATCACCTAGATACCCATCAGTTACACAACCCAGGGCAACACGGATTTAGAGCAGGTCGCTCCTGCCTGTCCCAGCTACTGGACCACTATGACAAGGTCCTGGATGCTGTAGAGGATAAGCAAAATACAGATGTAGTATACACAGACTTTTCAAAAGCTTTCGACAAGTGTGACCATGGTGTAATAGCAACACAAAATGCCTGACAAAGGAATAACGGGAAAAATTGGTGGACGGGTCTATAACTTCCTGAGAAATAGAACACAAAGAGTAATAGTGAACAGAATAAAATCTCGGGCAGCCACGGTAAAAGAGCTCTGTTCCACAAGGCACAGTACTCGCTCCCATTCCATTCCTCACCCTCATTTCTGTCAGAGATGTAAGCCATAGATAGCTCTGTGTCTTCCTTTGCGGATGACACCCGGATCACCGTGACAGTGACCTCCATCGAATCGAAGACACTGCAAGACTCCAAGCGGACATCAACCAAATTTTCGAATGGGTCACTCAAAAAACAATATGACGTTCAACGAGGAGAAATTTCAACTACTCAGATATGGGAAACTTGAGGAAATTAAAACCGTATCAGGGTATACGATAAATTCTAACCATACAATAGAGCGGAAAAGTAATGTGAAGAACCTGGGAGTGATAATGTCAGAGGATTTCGCCTTCAAAGATCACAACAATGTATCTACCTCATCTGCTAGAAAAATGATAAGATGGATAATGAGAACCTTCAGAACTAGGGACGCCAAGCCCATGATGATTCTCTTCAAATCACTTGTGCTCTCTAGGCTGGAATACTGCTGTGCACTAACTGCCCCCTTCAAAGCTGGCGACATTGCAGACATGGAGAGTGTCCAAAGAACTTTCACGGCACACATAAGTAAGATAAGGCACATTAATTACTGGGAACGGTTGAAGATCCTTGATCTGTATTCCCTGGGACGCAGGGGAGAGAGATACATGATAATATACACTTGGAAGGTCCTGGAGGGATTGGTACCAAACCTGCAGGAGATGCAACATTCCCCCAGTGAAAAGCAGGGGCGCCACGAGTACACTGAGAGACAATAAGTGTCCGGGGCCCAAGACTGTTCAACTGCCTCCCAGCATGCATAAAGGGGATTACCAATAGACCCCTGGCTGTCTTCAAGAAGGCACTGGACAGGCACCTAAAGTCAGAACCTGACCAACCGGCCTGTGGTTCGTACGTCAGCTTGCGTGTGGCCAGCAGTAGCAGCCTGGTTGATCAGACCCTGAACCACCATGAGGCCTGGTCTCAGACCGAGCCGCGGGGGCGTTGACCCCCGAAACCCTCTCCAGGTAAACTCCAGTTAAGGTGAGAGACTTTTCTCACAGGCGTCTAAATCTCTCTATAGGTGGAAACACACACATACATACACCTGACGACACTGGAGGACAGGAGGGATAGGGGGGACACGATAACGACATATAAAATACTGAGAAGAATCGACTAGGTGGACAGGGACAGAATGTTCCAAAGATGGGACACAGCAGCAAGGTGTCACAACCGGAAGCTGAAGGGATGTTAGGAAGTATTTCTTCAGTCATAAGAGTTGTCAGGAAGTGTAATAGTCTGGAGAGTGATATAGTGGACCCGGATCCATACACAGCTTTAAGAAGAGATACGATAAAGCTCATGGAGCAGGGAGTGTGTGGACCCAGTAGCGACCAGCGAAGAGGCGGGTCAGGAGCTAAGACTCGACCCCTGCAATCACAAATAGGTAAATTCTCTCTCACACACACACACACACACACACACACACACATACACACTTTGTATTTACGAAATATTTTAATACTTCTGCATTCTAAATAAACATTATTTCTCTTTCTTCCAGGGCAATGGATTAGACCTGAAGGATAGTTTAAGTGGGCTGGGTGGCGCAGCCTGGGCTTATCCTATGTACTATCCCTACGACACACTGGCTGCCTATCCCTTCTCACACGGGTAGGTACTGTGTGTTTGGTGGTAATAGTAGTAGTAATAGTAGTTGTAGTAGTTACTAGTTGTCAAAGACATTTGTCGATAGACATTTAGCCTATTCTGAGAGAGAGAGTGAGAGAGACAGAGAGAGAGAGAGAGAGAGAGAGAGAGAGAGAGAGAGAGAGAGAGAGAGAGAGAGAGAGAGACCTCCTAATCTCCCATTCCTAGGTATTATATATCCCTACATTATTAGGATTATTAGTTACTAGTATGTGTGTGTGTGTGTGTGTGTGTGTGTGTGTGTGTGTGTGTGTGTCTTAATGATTTATAGAATCATTATCTACAGGAAAATAAGAAACAGAATTTCCTCTTCGTTCTCTTACTTAGTTTTTCTCCCCCGTGTGTAATATCTCGTGCGAGTCGAGAGACTATTATTGTAGTTAGGTTAAGTGTTCGTACTCTTTAATTTACAAGCTAAGAGCTGTTACTTGCCTCAGCTCACTCGTAAACCTTACCTAGCATTAGTATTATTAAAACCCCTTGTTACGAAAGGCACAAACTGGGATCAGTCCCAGTTCTTTCACCAGTTTGACTAAAGACACGAATTGGGAACAGTTAAAATTCTCTATCTCGCCAGTTTTACGAAAGATACGAATTGGGAGCAATTCCAATTTCCTCTCTCTCTCTCTCTCTCTCTCTCTCTCTCTCTCTCTCTCTCTCTCTCTCTCTCTCTCTCTCTCTCTCTCTAAGCATCTCAAAATAACACTACTCAATTTGCATGCCATTTTTCACGGAAGCTTCACTGATCTAAGTCATCTTTCCACTGAAATGTCGTCCCGCCGCTGCCTCTTGAATAAGCCAGCATCTCTCGCACTGGCAAATCTCTTCCCACCGCACAGCGCACTAAAAATCCACAGATTTACCAGCCGGAAACAGACTCCACAGCGATATAAAATCTCCATAATTAATGCCCCCCCTCTCCCCCAGCAAAGTTTGTTAAAAGGCCAGCGCGGCTCGAATGCCTTTGGGCGACGACCCAGCCACACTGAAACATTGATAACCAATTAGGGGGCATTTTCACCCCCCACACCCTCCCTTGCCCTTGGGGATTTTTTTTCCTTGTGCACCCTTAGAGGTAATATTTTTTTGGTTTCCGCTATATTCGAAGCGGAAAGGTCAGTGTTGTTCTGCTTCAGGTTAGAGGGAGAAAGGTCAGTGTTTTTCTGCTTCAGGTTAGAGGGAGAAAAATCAGTGTTTTTTTGCTCCAGGTTAGAGGGAAAAACGTCAGTGTTGTCCTGCTCCATGGTAGAAATTAAAAGGTCAGTGTTTTCCTGATCCAGGTTAGAAAGGTCTTTTTCTGTTATATCGGGATGGGAAAGATTATTATATCTGTCCCAGCGTAGAGAGAGAGGCCACCACATAACTGTCCCAGTAAAGAGGGTGGCGGTATTAAACACCGCGGTTATATACGACCGCAGACAGGAATGTCAACATTCTCCAGCTGCGGTTTACACGAAGAGGTCAATAGATATTTCGCATTCAGTCTAATAAATGAACATCATTCTTCTTCCATGGAGGGAAAAACGATATTTTTTTCCGTGTATTATCCAGTGAGTTATATGTTTCGTTTCGTTATTCATAGAAAAACGAAAGGATATATTACGCTGCTCACTAGAGAATAGGTTGGACAAGAATTTCAGCCGAAAGGTTTTTTGGATTTGAGAAGGGGTGACGAAAATAGGCCAGTAGGCCTGCTGAAGTGTTCTGCCAGTCTAGTGTTCTTGACCAAGTAGTGTAAGAGAACCCCAGCAGAGAGTTGTATTCCAGAATTATATATATAAAATATATAATATATATATATATATATATATATATATATATATATATATATATATATATATATATATTTTATATATATATATAATTTGAACCATATTTACACATTAGCACTCTTACACTACTGCTGCTGCTACTACTAATACTACTATCACTACTACCACCAGCACACACTGTATTATCCACATACTATACACCACCAACACTTATATACTTGGAACACACAACTAAATGAAAGACAGTTACATGTCATAGCAATATTAAGTCTTCCTGCCTCCTCTACCTCATCTTCTCTCCTGCCTCCTCTACCTCATCTTCCTCCTCCTGCTCTCTACCTCCTCACTTCCTTCCTCTCCTCATCTTCCTCCTCTGCCTCCACTATCCTCATCCCCCCCTCCTGCCTCCTCTACCTCATCTTCCTCCTGCCTCCTCTACCCTCATCTTTCCCCCTCTACCTCTCTTCCTCCTCCTTCCTCCTCTACCTCATCTTTCCCCCTCCTCCTCCATTCTCATCTTCCTCCTCCTGCCTCCTCTACCTCCTCTTCTTCCTCCTGCCCCCCTCTACCTCATTTCCTCCTCTCCTCGTCTTCCTCCTCCTTTCCCCCTCTCTACCTATCTTCCCCCCCTGCCTCCACTACTCATCTTCCTCCTCCTGCCTCCTACCTCCTCATCTTTTCCCCCCTGCCTCCTTACCCTCTTTCCCCCCTCCTCTCCTCATCTTTCCCCTCTGCCCCATCTCATCTTCCTCCTCTGCCCCCTTACCTCCTCTTTTTCCTGCCTCTTTCCTCATTTCCTCCCCCTCACCCTTTTTTCCTCCCCCTCCCCTTACCCCATCTTCCTCCCCCTGCTCCCACCCCATCTTCCCCCTCCTGCCCCCCTTACTCACTTTCCTCCCCCTCTCCTTTTCCTCCCCTTTCCCCCCTCCCCTCTCTTCTTCTCCTCCCGCCCCCTTTTCATTTCCTCCTGCCTCCTCTATTTCTTCTCTCCTCCCCTCCTCTACCTCATCTTCCTCCTTGCCTCCCTACCTCATTTTTCCTCCTCCGCCTCCTCTACCCTCATCTTCCTCCCTCCTTACCTATCTCCTCCTGCCTCTCTACCTCATCTTCCTCCTCCTCCTCCCTCACCTCATCTTCCTCCTCCTGCCTCTCTATCCTCATCTTCCCTCTCGCTACCTATCTTCCTCCTCCTGCCCCTCTACCTCATCTTCCTCCTCCTCCTCTAACCTCATCTTCCTCCTCCTGCCTCCCTACCTCATCTTCCTCCTCCCTGTCCTCCTCTACTCCTCATCTTCCTCCTCCTGTCTACCTTCTTCCTCCTCCTGCCTCCTCTACCTCATCTTCCTCCTCTGCCTCCTCTACCTCATCTTCCTCCTCTGCTTCCTCTACTCATCTTCCTCCTCCTGCCTCCTCTACCTCCTCTTCCTCCTCCTGCCTCCGTCTACCTCATCTTCCTCCTCCTGCCTCCTCTACCTCCTCTTCCCCCTGCCTCCTCTACCTCATCTTCCTCCTCTGCCTCTCTACCTCACTTCCCTCCTCCTTCCTCCTTACCTCATCTTCCTCCTCCTGCCTCCTCTACCTCATCTTCCTCCTCCTGCCTCCTCTACCTCATCTTCCTCCTCCTGCCTCCTCTACCTCATCTTCCTCCTGCCTCTCTACCTCATTTTCCCTCCTCCTCCATACCTCATCTTCCTCCTCCTGCTCCTCTACCTCATCTTCCTCTCCTGCTCTCTTACCTCATCTTCCTCTCCTTCCTCCTCTACCTCATCTCTCCTCTCCTGCCTCTCACTAACCTCATCTTCCCTCCTCCTGCTCCTCTACCTCATCTTCCTCCTCCGCCTCCTCCTACCTCTCTCACCTTCCTCCTTCCTCCTCTACCTCATCTTCCTCCTCCTGCCTCCACTACCTCATCTTCCTCCTCCTGCCTCCTCTACCTCATCTTCCTCCTCCTGCCTCCTCTACCTCATCTTCCTCTCCTGCTCCTACCTCATCTTCCTCCTCCTGCCTCCTTCCCATCTCCTCCTTCCTTCCTCCTCCTTCTTCCTCCATCCTCCTCTCTCACTACCTCATCTTCCTCCTCCTGCCTCCACTACCTCATCTTCCTCCTCCTGCCTCCACTACCTCATCTTCCTCCTCCTGCCTCCACTACCTCATCTTCCTCCTCCTGCCTCCACTACCTCATCTTCCTCCTCCTGCCTCCTCTACCTCATTTTCCCTCATCCTCCTCCTCTCTACCCCCATCTTCCTCCTCCTTCCTCCCCCCACCTCCTCCTTCCTCCTCATCCTTCCTCCTCCTGCCTCCTCTACCTCATCTTCCTCCTCCTGCCTCCACTACCTCATCTTCCTCCTCCTGCCTCCTCCTTACCTTCTCTCTTCCTCCTTTCTGCCTCCTACCTCATCTTCCTCCTCCCTTCTCCTCCTCTACCTCATCTTCTCCTCCTGCCTCCACTACTTCATCTTCCTCCTCCTTCCTCACTACCTCATCTTCCTCCTCCTTCCTCCTCTACCTCATCCTCCTCCTGCCTCGCTCTCACCTTCTAGCTCCCACTCCCTCTCCTCTCTCATCCCTCCTCTCCTGTTATCACCACTTCTGTGTACACATTTTATCATTGTCTCTCACATCTTCCACTGTTCTCACCACGTTTTTTTCCCCTCTTTCCTAACCTCCAGACTTAGTGATCCAAGTAAGACCATTTTCCTGCGATAAATAAATATGTAAATCACCCTAAAATGCGAGACTAATAAGCCCGTCCGCAATTTATAGTCAAATTCTGACGTCGGCAGTTCGTCTCTTCCCGGCGGCGGCTGGCGGGGGCGGCGGCTGGCGGGGGCGGCGGCTGGCGGGGGCGGCGGCTATCGGTGGGCGGGCGGCCGGCTAAAGCACTACGCCCACACGCCCGCAGTTTCACTCTTTGAGGCCCTGTGCCGCGGGCCGTTAGGGGTGACGGCGGCTCCGGCGGTGCCGTGGGCGGCTTGCGCCTCTCTGAGCCTTGTAAAAACGCCCAAATTAAACGGTTTTGAAGAGTCCCAGCCCGGGGGGGGGGGCACGGGAGAGGGGTACAGGGGGTAGGGTTGGGGTGGGTAGGGGGGCGACGAAAAAGCCATCGAATACATAATATATGAGGAACCCATACTGAGGGGGAGGGGGAAGAGGGGGAAGGGGAAAAGAGATAGAGGGAGGGGATGGAAGGG